CACCCTACTGCCTTCCCTTGCAGGTGGGCAGTGCAGTGTCACTTGGGACGCGGGGTCTGTGACCTTGTTCTGGCAGGATCTCAGCCAAGGACAGTGCCAGGGTAAATGCCCGTACATGAGCTCTGAAGCCTGTAGAGGAGCAATATAGGATCATAGAATCATTTAGATTGCAAAAGACCCTTAAGATCATCGAGTTCCAACCGTTAACCTAACACTGCCAAGTCCACCATTAAACCATGTCCCTAAGCACCACATCTACACGTCTTTAAATACCTCCAGGGATGGTGACTCAACCCCTTCCTTGGGCAGCCTCTTCCAGTGCTTGACAAGCCTTTCAGTGAAGAATATGCTGTTGGTGTAGCAATATCAGGAGGAGCTTTTCTGCTGAATGAGCTGAAGCATGTCCCATCCTTGCCCCAGAACAGCAGAGCCCAAAGCTAAAGGCTCTCCTTATTTCTCACTCCCAGGGGCCTCCATGTCTCTGCGCAGATGTGCTCAGAGGGAGAACACGGGTCGGCAGTGCTCGAGGGGGGCGGGCTGGGGGCCCTCCCTAGTGTGTCCTCTGACTCTTCTTTTTCCCCTCAGTTACAAGGGGCTGGTGGCTGAGGCCCTGCGGCAGCTGGTGGGAGAAGAGTGCTATCGGCAGGATGAGGTGCTGCCCCCAGGATACTGCACAGGTAGCCTGGCTGGGCACCCTGCTTCGGGGCAGGGCCATGGCTCCGGGGAGGGGGCTGGCAGTTGGGATTTGGGGAGCTGTGGGTGCGGCAGAAGCCCTGCGGCTGCCTGGATGCTCGGGGGAGGCCCAAGGGTGTGAGGTTATTCAGGGCAGAACTAGATTTGGCTGCTTTGTCACCACCTTCCCCATGATACTGCCTTCGCCCGGCGCTTCGGGACGAAGCTCCCAGAGCCGCCCCCGCTGCAGGAGGGCTCAGCTGGGCCAGTGCAGCAGGGGGATCCCCTCTGTGCTCCCATCTGGGCTCTGGCGCATCTCACACCCTGGGGCACACGGGGTCCCCGAGCTCATGTCCCATCAGTATCGGGGTCTTGAGGCCTGGTGCTGATCTGTGTTCTCTCTGCAGACTTCCTGCTGTGGATTAACCGCTCAGGCACCGTGCTGCCTCTCTCCCGTGTCCCTGCGGCTTCCAAGGCTCCCTCTGCCCACACTACAACGTCCCCTGCTGCCATTTCCTTGCGCTCCAGCGTCCTGGCCCTCACCTCGGACTTGCAGGATTTTGCCCCGTTTGCTCCAGAGACGCCGAGCAGCCCCCCGGGCTCCCGAGAGAACAACCTGGCTGGGCGGTTCCTGCCCACGCTTTGCCCTGCCCCAGGGGGCCCCTGCTACCAGCCCCCCTCGGACTATTACTGCGGCCTGAGCAAAGAGTCTTCCCTGGAGAGCCAGGGCAGTTCCACGTTAAGCAGCCCTTCCGAGTGCCTCTCTGCGCAGCCGGCTGGCACTCCTGACTGCTCGCCCAGGGGCATCTCTGCAGCCACCCTCTTCCAGTTCCCCATCAGCAAGATTCTGGAGGAGGAAGAGGAGGCTACCGCCGGCTGCCCTGGGCACGATCACAACTGCTTCCAGGGGGAGCAGGCCCAGGAAGAACCAGAGGAAAGGAGCCCACCCCCCAGCGAGGACGCCTGCCCTCCACCCTCTCCGTGCCGGCCCAGCCCCAAGCGAGGGCCAGGCGATGGGCCGCAGGGAGCTGAAGAGATTCAGAGGTACCGAGCAGGGCCGGTCCGTGTCCCCACTCCCTTCCGGCAGGACAGCCGCCTCGGGCCCGCACCAGCACTGGCTTCAGCTCCTGCCCTCCCCAGCAGTCGGCCCCGGGCCCTCCTGCCCTGCGCTGTTAGGTGCCCGGCGGCAGCGCGGGCTGTGCTGCAGAGAGCCTGTCCCCACCGCCCCCAGGCCCTGGGGTGCAGCTCGTCCCAGCCCGGGTACGGCTGACCCTGCCACCAGTTGGGTGCGGGAGGCGGGGGGTGCTGCCCTTCATCCGCCACTCTTAGGGGGACCAGGCGCGGGCGATGCTGCTGCCGGTCCTGCCTGCAGGGTCTGTGGTGTGGGGTAACGCTGCCCTCCTCCCCCATCTCTGTCCTCTGCAGGGTGGTGCTGTCGGTCAATGACAAATGGCATTACTGCCAGAACTCCGACATACTGGTGGGCTCGCGAGCCATGAGGGACAGGCACTTGCGACTGCTGGGCTACTGTCTGGTTCAGGTAAGCGGGGGGCTGCTCCCTTCCCTTCCCCTCCTCCCCCTGGGCAGAAACCGCCCGTGGCTGTGCAGCAAGATGGGCTCCAGGCTGGAGAGCTGGCATCCCCACTGTAAACACTCCCGATGGGAGCCGTCCTTCCACACTTGCTGCTTGTGAGAGGAAGCAGTGACTCATCCTCACGGCTCCTTTTTGCCCTCCCCCACCCCACCCCAAGACTTTTTCCACGCAGCTGGTGGGTGAGACTAGCCCCGGTGCCCTGGCGGAAAGCACGGACAAGGGGACAGCCCCTCCTGTCCGCTGGTCCTGCAGGAATCCCGTCCTACAGGTCTGCCGCCTGGAGCTGAGACCCAACCCGCGCCCTGGGCAGGGAGGGGAGAAGGGGAAGCTGCTCAGCCGGGGCCCGGCAGACACGTTGTCAGTGGCGGGGGCGGGCGGGGGGGGGAAATCAAGTGGGGGCATAGCTCAGCCTGATACCCTTTGCTGTAATCCTGGCTGTCGGTTCTGCAGCATGCCTCTTGCCGCTGTGGGCGGAGGTGAGGCGAGCCTCCCTTCAGTGCCTGTTTCAGAGCCCTGGCCTCTTTGGTTGCAGCCTCTGGCTGGTCTGTGGTGAGAGGTGTGAACAGAGAAGCCCTCGAGGCTTCACCACCGCCTTCGCAATTGTCTTCAGTTTTCTTTGGGGACTTCAGATGTTGTTTTAAGGTGTGCAGCTTCTACAAGACTATTTGTGGCATGATTTTTTAGCTTGAGGATAGATCTTTCTGAGGAAAACAACTCAGAAATGCAGGCCTCTTACCCTGTTTACTTCTCCACTTCAGAAGTCACGTGAATTACAGTCATAGATCTACCAAGCAGCCTCATAACCATTTCTTAAAGCTTCTTACCTCCCCTGCTGCTGATGGTGCAGTGTGCCAACACGAAGCTGCTCCTAACTTCATAATTTGCAACGTACATAGTTCAGAAGCCCTTTGTTTATGCATAGCTTTGGCAGTCCTGTGACTCGAGTTGTGGTATTTCCTTGGAGATCCCAAATTGCAGAGCAGTGGAGCAGGACCAGATCTCCTGTGCAGTGCGCCATGGGTCTCCCTTGTGCTGGCATTCAGGACGGGGTGCCCAGGGCTGGCCGTGTCCCCAGACAGCAGGGCCAGCCATGTCCCCAGACAGCAGTGGGGCCGAGCAGCTTGTCACACGCGCCGGCCCCTGCCGCTGGGCTTGAGGCCAGTGCCACAGGCTCTCACTGTGTGTCTGGGCTCCAGGATGTCCTGGGTCAAGGAGGGTGCTTGGTATAGCTGCCGCCGCTCCCGGTTTTGTGCCACCATGTCTGAGAGCCGAGGGCTGCCCTTGCCTGCCTGCCCTGTGCCCAACGCACCCATGGCAGCCGGGGACTGTGCTCACCCTGCACTTGGCCCAGCTGGGGGGTCTGTGCCCCATCTCAAACTGTCTCTGGTGACTGTTACTGCTTGGGTCTGCGCCCCTGCTGTGGGTCAGGGCTGCAGTGGGAGGCTGAGGCCGCTGACCAGCGGCCCAACAGGGTCTCTGAGGAGCAAGGAGGAATGGGCAAGGGTGCAGGCAAGCAAGAGCATGCTCTTGCTCCCAGTGTGCACAGGGTCAGGTGCTCTGTCTGGCAGCGTGTGGTTAGGCGTTGGGACCTGCATGACCGAGGCGCAGGAACTCTTCTCTGCTCAGCATGCCCGATCATCATACAGCCACTAGTGCGGTTAGCTCCCTTTGGGTGCATGAGAAGAGGCTCTCTGGTCCCATCCCCTCTATTCCCTCTCCAGCAGCAGACAGTGGCAGATCGTTAGAAAATGAGTGGGAAGTGGATCATGAATAGTCCAAGGACTCCTGCACCAGAGCATGTGTCTGTACAGCTGTGTTTAATCGCCCTGATGGACCTCTTCTCCATGAGCGTTCTATTCCTCTGAGCCTGTTCTTTCTTCCACACCTGCAGCGTCCGGTGCCAACAAGCTCCAGGCAGTATTACCTGCAACAAGCTCTGTTTGTTTTAAACCTGCTGTCTGGTCAGCCGACGTGGTGCTGCCAGGTCTGGTACCATGAGGGAGTGAAGAACAGCTCTGCGGTTACCTTCTATGCTTGTGGTTCCAGAGGTCGCTTCCCCTTGGCCACCCCTTTGAGATGGAGAACCCCAGGCAGTTCAGCTTCTTCCGGAGTTGAAGCTGCTTCACAGCTTGGTTGTTCTTCTTGCTCTTCTCGTTTGAGGTTTATTTCCTCTTCTTCTGACACCTTTACAGAATCGCAGAGTAGTTGAGGTTGGCAGGGGCCTCTGGAGATCATCCAGTCCAACCCTGGCTCACCTAGAGCAGGTTGCTCAGTACCACGTCCAGTCGAGTTTTGAATGTCTTGGAGATAGGTTGCTTTCTGGGTAACCTGTTCCGGGCTCAAGGCCGGTGCTGCTTTACCCTCACAGTAAAAGAGGGGTTTTTCTTATGTTTGGGGGTGTGTGTGTGTGTAGCTTAAGTTTAAATGGGATTTCCAATATTTTAGGTTTGTGCCCATTGCCTCACTCTCTGTCACTGGGCACTGCCAAGAGTCTGGCCCTGTTTTCTTTACAACCTCCTGTTGGGTATTTGTACATATAGATGAGATGCCCCGATCCTTTTCTTCTCCAGCTCTGTCAACCTCTTCTCACGTATCGCGTGCTTTAGTCCCGTAATCATCCTTGTGGCCCTGTACTGGACCCGCTCCAGTATGCCCATGTCTTGTTCTGGGGAGCCCAGCACTGGACACTGCAGATGTGTCTCACCAGTGCTGGGTAGCAGAGAAGGATCGGCTCCCTCGACCTCCCCGTGGTGCTCTTAGTACAACCTGGGACGCTGTTGGCCACCTTTGCTGCAAGGGAGCACTGCTGGCCGGTGTTCAACTTGTCCATCAGGACCCTTAGTCCCTTTTCTGCAAAGTCACTTTCCAGCCGCTTGGCCCCAGCCTGTCCTGGTGCATGGGGTTATTCCTCCCTAGGCTCAGGACTTGGCCATTCCCTGCCAGGGGGCCGTTTCTCCAGCCTGTGTAGGTCCTTCTGAATGGCAGCACAACCATCTGGCGTGTCAGCCGCTCCTCCCTGTTTTGTACTGTCTGCAGCCTCGCTGGGGGGGCACTCGGTCCCATCGTCCAGGTCACTAATGAGGATACTAAACAGTATTGGCCCCGGTACTGACTGCTGGGGTATGCCACTAGTGACTTGGTCCAGCTGGACACCGTGCCTCTATTCGCAGCTCTTTGAGCCTGGCAGTTCAGCCCTCCTTATATTTAAGGCCTTCTCTTGTTGGCTGTTGTATTGCCATGTGTGAGCTCGATCGGCGCTGGACTGCCTGTCGTGTCTGGCACACTGCTAAGCAGTCTGGGTATGTCTTTGTGACTGTGCCAGGGCCTTGCTCCTCCTTGGATGCCATTGATCTGGTAGCAGTCGCCGGTGTGGATTTGTCAGTGCCTCTGAACACAGCTTCCTTCCAAGAGAGCCTGCTCCCTTTGTGGCACAGCGAGCAGGGGCTGCCCACGGTGACTGCAAAGGACATTGCCAGGTCTTGCACCCAGACCCTTCCTTGCCTCCATCCTCTGGTTGGACCTGCATGTTGCTTCCACCCTTCTGACAGGCGGTGGGAGTGCCATTGCAGGGTCACCTGCCTCAGATCCTCTACTCTGCCCACAGATGCTCTGGGTCTCAGCGCTTTCCAGGGTAGATGTTTTTCTCCCTGGTGGTCCTGACCTTTTATTGACAGCCTGCTCTTTTTCCTCGGAAGGTTCTAGGTAAGGACGGGCTCCTTCCTTCCCAGGATCCTGCCCTGAATAATGGCCAGATTTGATGTTCCCACAAACCCTGTCCTGGCTCAGGCACTATTCACTTCCAGCCTGTTCGGTTGAAGGAGCTTTCTGTGCTGTTGATCCTTCCTTAGTGTCGGAAGGGCAAGCCCACTGGGGAGGCAGACCCTGCAGAGCTGGGCAGTGAGGAAAGGAGCTTGAAGCAGTGGAAGGAGGTGGCTCTGTACCAGAACTGCCGGAAACCTTTGATTCAGACCCACTGCAGCCAGAGGACTTGGTTCCTCCTCTCCAGGCAAAGTTAGTAGCCGCCTTCACCCCTGGCCTATGTGGGACTGTTGGAGAACAGTGCCTGTCTACAGCCTGTTCACTGTCCTGGGGGCAGTGTGCAGTTTGTCTGTGTTGCCCGTCCTCACTTTGCTCTTTGCCCTGTAGCACCTGTGTCAGGATCTAGCCGTTCCACGGAGTCCCTTCAGGGAGTGTTTCTGCCCATTCTGCTTTGTGTTCTTCCATGTTCTCTGCAGCTTGGGAAACTGGTGGGACTTGTGGGAACTGACCTGAAGGATGAAAACCCCCACAGCTGGCTCTCCTGGGCCAAAGGTTCTGTTCTTGGTCTTTGCATTTGTGCCAAGTTTTCCCACCCTATCCCTTCACAATGCCTACTACTAGCCCTGTTTCTCAACGAGGCGGTGAGAAAAAGCTTCCTCCTTTGCAGGCAAACTCCTATGTGTCACGATCTGCAACTCCTGAGGGATGGCAGTGGCCTCTCCAAGCAGCCTTGGATGCTTCTGGTATAGTAGACCACCCCCTTGCCGTGTATGGAGCACTGGGTCCACGCAGGCTCCTCCAGAGGCCAGGCTCCAGCCCTGCTCTGGAGAAGTGTCTTCACAAACGCAGCCCCTCCAGGGCTCGGGTCGCCTGGTATCTGTGAACAGTGGAGGGCCAGACTAGTGGCACAGAGCCGAGCGCTGTGTCACTTCCCCACAGAGAGGGATGCTTTCCCCCCCTGCCATGTCCCCGACAGCATCTCTCGGAGCAGGCTGAGGTGCACCAAGGTCGCTAGAGCTGCCTCTCTTCAGGTGCAGAGCTCGTCTGCTCAGCCCCAAGGGCTGGAAAGGGCAGGTGAGGTTCTTGGCCAAGAACTTTCCTGCGTAGCTCCAGCGCCAGCCCTGTGTCGCTGACTCTCAGCAGGATCTCCAAGCCTGAAGGAGAGCTTTTCTTGTACTTCCTTATTCCCGGGGGGACGGAGCAGGACTCCTCTAGTGCCTTGAGTAGCAAAACACACCAGGGGCTGGACTGCAGTCGGGGTGAACACACAGGTCCTGTTACCGCAGTGTAATGCCTTTAGCCCTCTCCTGTGCTGCCAGACAGGGCTGAAGTATGGGTCACGGTTACCCTTAGTCCTGCTCCATGAGCACTGGTGGTGCCTTCTGGGATGTTGGACCAGCAGAGCTTCCAGCCACCCCAACAAGTTTTGGCCCCCAGCCCCTGATACCGATGTGGAGGGAACACTGGTGGTAGCTGGAGTCTCCTCTTGTCCCTGTGGATCCGTTCCTGCAAGGCTGCCGCGTGCAGGTTTGCTTCATTCCCCCAACCTTTGGTGCTCCCAGCCTGGTGTGGGGATGGATGCCCAGCCACACGTGCAAGCTGGAGCTGGGGCTGTCACTATGAGGTGACAAGCCCTGGGTCGGGAGGGCCTTGAACTGTGAACGGGTGTTTTTAGAGAAGTGCCTGCCAGGTTGTCCCCAGACTGGTACTGAGGGGAGGGACAGGGCATGGTCCCAGGCCCATCTCTTCTCCCATCCCTGTGGGTGCATCTGTCTCGTGGTCGGGGTGGCCCAGGGCTCGTGGCCTTTCGGCGGGGTGCTTAGCTCCAGGCTGTATTTGCTCTTCAGGGGCAGAGAGCGCTCCTGATGCCACAGAGTGACATCCAGTCCAGCTTTCCCGGTGGGGTCCCCACTCCCCCTTAGCCCTCCCCTCAGTACCCCATACCAGTTACCCTGGGCAAAGGGAGGGGTGTTTCCATTTTTATTAGTCCCGGTGCCTTCTTTCCTTAGCAGACAGAGTTAAAATGACGTGTTGGGGAAGAAACCGTTACCTGGGCTCGGCTCACTCTCACAGCCCTTTCTTCTGGTGGGAGGCTGACGGGTGCTGTTGCTCTTCCACACGCTGCCCGCTCCCAGGAGCAGTTTCATGCCACCCCGTCTGCTGGAGAGCCTGCAGCAGCTGAGCCGGAGCGCAGGGTCGCCTGTTCCCCCGCACGTCCTGGGCAGGGCTGATGTCCCTTTCCAGCCTGCTGAGCAAAGCCCCTCTGGCCCTGCCCTTCCCTCTCTCACGTCTCGCTGCTGCACCTTGGTCTCTGGTGCCGGTTCTTGTTTGAGGGAGGCCAAAAGCACAACCAGACCTCTTCAGGGCTGTGCAGCGGGCACCCGCTCCATCCTTCTCTGCGGCAGCGGGCCCCTCCTCTCCCTTGCACGGAAAACCACCTTCCCCTCATCTCCCCTCGCCGCCAGGCGGTGGACGAGCTGCAGGCTCCCCCACCCTCCATGGCAGGAGGGTGGCTGGGTTTTGGTCTTCATCCCTCCCTGGAGGTTGGTGACTGGGGTTCAAGGTTGGGGTGAGGCTTGCGAGCTCCCCTGGCCCTGCAGTGCCGCGTGTCCTCCCTGTGTGTGCTGGGCCCCGGCCCAGCTGTGGTGGGGATTGGGGATGGGGGTGCCTGCAGGTGCTCTCTGCTGTCGGCAGGGGGGGCAGGGGCAGCTGGCCTCACGGGGCAGCCAGGTTCGGGGGTGAAGCCCTGGGAGGGCAGAGCCAGGGCGGGCAGGCACTCAGGGACTCGTCCCCCCCGGGAGGTAGCCCCGTTGCCGTGCCTTGCCCGGGGCTGAGCTGGAGCAGAGTGAGCTTCCTCTGCCTGGTGGTCAGTGGGATGCTGAGCTGGGGCTTGTGTGCTCCTCCTGTGCCCTCCCCCCTCCTTGGAAGGAGCAGCACTGTTGTCCTTCCCCCGGGAAGGGTCCCGAGTCCTGGTTCTTCCCCCTGCCGCCACAGACTACTGTCCCAGGCAGCCTCGGGCTGGGTGTTGATGGTGGTGCTGGTGGTGGAGCTGCTCTGATGGTTTCTCCCTGTCCCCTTCCAGCTGCCCTACACGGAGCTGGAGAAGGTGAGTGGCATCGAGGAGGCCAAGCACTACCTGCGGCAGAAGCTGAGGGAGCTGCGCTTCTGAGGGATGGATGCCTCGAGTCCCGGGCTCTGGGCGGGGAGGGGGCAGAGAGGGGTGGGCACAGGTGGGTGCTGCCAGCCCCTTTCCCCTGGGGGTGGGACACGGAGCTGCCACCTGTCCCAGGGGGGCACGGGGCTGGGCCATGGGCACCTGCTCCTCGATGTGGGGCTGGGGTAGTGTGAGATATTTATTGCCGTTAGCGGGGGGAAGGGGTATGACTTGACTGGTGCATAGGGGAGTATTTGGGTCTATGCTGCTGGGGGGGGCGGGGAGGGAGGGAAGGTCCTTTGCTGCCCCCCCTGCCCTGGCCCTGTCGCCCCCAGCCCTGTCTGCAAGGGTCGCTGCAGGGCGGCCTGGCCTGGCTTCCCCGCAGCACTGCGGGAGGGGGGGGC